TTGTGCGAAAACATAAACATAGCACAACATTATTGAAATTTACTATAACAGAAACCGCAAAGGTTATTTAGGAGCATGGTTCATTAGTTATGGTGATTACGGATCTTTCTCTATAAAATTTTACAGAAGTCAGCGAGATTCTAAGAAAAAAGAGTATTATTACAATTGAATATATTAATATTTTAGTTGAATGTCTGCAAGTTAATTAACTAAACAAAACTAGCACTTAGCTTCTTGCAAAACAAATAAAAATATCAACCAAACTACTGATAAAATCAAACAATGTTACCATTTAAACATTTTCAGCTCTTCTAATTTTTAACTTTATAAATAAGACTAACGTCTGTACTCAACAAAAACAATATTTTATTCAAAATAATTTAAAAATTTAAAAATAGTAAAATGATCAATGGTTTAAGCCACTCTAGGATATTAGATTAGGAAAATTGTTATTTATTTTTTTTTTCTCTTTGAAGGTGCCTTAACACTTTAAAATTATGCACAGTGTGCCAAAAAAAAAGACCACTCTGAATAACTTTTGAGTTAATGATCAGGTCTTCACGTTCTATGACACATTCCTAATGGTTCCAGGGAGTAATCTTAAATATGCTGAAAACTGAAGCAGAATATATTTTAAGTTACGAAATCAAACACAAAACGTACTTTTTCTGAATACTATTGATATATCCTGATTAGAATTGTTATTATCTACCTAAGAAAATCCGCATAAAATATGATTTTGGTTTTCCTTGTTAAAATAGTGTAAATTTAAAAATATTCAACTTAAACTCATTAACTACATTTTAATGAACAGAATTTCTTGCATTTATTTAACTTGTAAAATTATTCAAGGGGTAGTCGATAACGAAAATCGATTTTAAAGTCAACATTTAATGCATGCCGACCAGGTGGCCGAGTAGTTAGCGTGCCTGACTGCGGAGTCGATGGTTGCGGGTTCGAATCCCGCGCAGGGCATGGATGCTTCGTTCTCTCTCTCTCTCTCTCTCTCTCTCTCTCTGTGTTCTATGTCCTTTCTTCTGTGTGATTGTGTGAATGTAACCCGCCCTACCGGGTTTGTGGTTGTTTGACGTGGGAGACGCTACTCCACCGTCGTGGATTAGTCATAGGTGCTTACTGGGTAATGATAAGAAAGTAGCAATTCTGGTATTTCTAAGGCCAATGGGAAATAAACGGAAGTGCCCGCCATTAACCAAAAAAATAATAAAAAAAGTTAAAAAAATAATAAAAACTTTTAATGCATAATTTTTGTTTATGTTAACTCAATTTGAGAATTAATGAACAGATAATCTTATGCCTGTTTAAGATTGAGTCGCCCAGAGTAAAGAATTGCTAAATTCGTTTTTGGAAGGAAACAAAAAATGTTAAACGTATCGCGGTAACATGTTTCTCTTTAGCTTCAATAAAAGCAAACGATCGTTTCAATTTTCATTAGCAGAATATTTTATAATTTTATAACCGTCGTTGAACAGCCGACCCAATTTTTGAGTTTACGGCTATTAATGTTTAACTACGTAGCCTTCTAATTTTGAACCCAATCCAGAAGACAAGAGAGCTCCTGAATCAAGTATTGGGAGAAATTTGCCATCGTGGAAGACTTTTTAATGGAACTAACCCGCATTTGCGTTGCATGGAGAGGAAGACGACGAGAACCTCCCACGATTAGCCTGACGGCAAGAGAACTCTGACTCATGCTCCGTCCACCACTGAAGATATTTCACGTCAGCACTGTGGTCGGTTCAAGCCGGATGCGGAATTCGTATCGAACCCGGTTCACCTCATTGGAAGGCGAGCGCTCTATCCCCTGAGCCATCGCAGCTCTTAGCGGAATATTGTAATTTTTTAAAAGAAAATACTATGAGAAACACGATTTGCAATGATGTAGCTAAGACATTTTCCGTGTTAAACTTAAGCCAGTCATGTCATAATAATCATCTAGAAATATGCAGTTATAAAAAATAATGTAACTCGTTTTTTTCTTTTTTTTAAATATTTTCTTAAAATCTGCAGAGCATCAAATTCTTGGTATGCTTTTACCATTTATGTAACAACATTAATTAAATTGTAAAATTAAATGAAGTATAAAAATTCAAAATGAAAGAAAAAAATCCAAAATTTTAAATGTATTATTTACTTGTTAAAATTCAAATTTGTTGTAGATTACAATTAATTCACTTCTGATTCTAATAAAAACTATTGTAATTTAAAATGCATTTAGAGTTGGGTAAATAAAGGAGGGGAAAGGGCTCCCAAAATGTTTAGCCCAGAACCCCATGGCCAAAATATAATTTTATCATATTTCTGATTTAAAATTCAAATCAAACTTAACCATGCTTAAACATCAAGTGCGACAACCTTAAGCTATTTTCTTTAACACGTTGAAAAGACACCTGTGTTTATTTTGGAAAAGGCAATCAAACTGCGCCAGACTTAAGAGATAAAATGGGCAGCCCGTCACAAGTTAGGTTAAAGTAATTTTCGGGTTCAGGATTATAATGAAATTTTAATATCAACCTACTTTCAAACTAAACTAATATATTTTGAAGAAATCCGTTTAGATCAGTTACTGTGGGTAGAACATGTGTTAACAGCTTTTTTTAGTGACCACATTTGGCCAACTTTGGCCCGCTAAAACAAAAAATATTATTTTAAAAATTCTTCATGTTCCATTTATTTTTTTATATGGTTCTACCTAGTAAATTGCAAAGGCGACACTTAGAATTGAGATCAGTTAGAAAAACTATAAAAAGTGACTTGTATATGGTGTGTGGTGTGTATATAGCAATATAGTGTGTCCAGAGGTCTCTACGAATTTTACATACTCTTATACCACAATGAAGTTTAGAATCATATAAATTAATGATTCCTTTAAAAATATTTTAATTACCTTTTTTTCATTAATCACCAATAATTATGTAGCAATCATCATTTTTGTCACTTGTCAAAAAGAAAAGACTTTATTTGCCCCATAGAACTGGAGATAAAAAAAAGTCGACGCGTTTCGGTCGCTCAAAACAAGGACCCTATTCTCTAGACTCATCACATGTCAAGGCTCATTCACGTGCAGTGGGATCTTGAGAATGATCGCTTTTTTTGAGAGCTCGAAATGTATTAACTTTTTCAACATTTGAAGCAAATGAAGTTTTTCATTGACAAGTATATCCTACCTGAGAATCATTATTCATTTCATTAATTTGGCCTCGATAAATAAATTTAAACTCAAAAAATGTCTGTTGGTCTAAAAGTCGAGTTGTTATTTTTCGTGCCTGGACCCCTATAGAAAAGCCTTAACTCTTCACTCTCAGATATCAATATTTCCGCTCTCTTACGGTCAAATTCGCATTTTGGTTGCCTTACTGCTAGTCCTAATTACCGCACCGGCCAATTTGATTTGGATGCGTCAAATATCATTAAATATTGTGAAAATTAAATAATTGGAAAAAATTTTGGGAGTAAAATTATTAAAAATTTATAAGTTATCAATCAAAAGGAAGAACAATCAAACCATAAAACAATTAATCGAACATAAAATAAAATATTTTTCACGATAATTATCACGACAATTATAATGATCATAGCATTGTTTCGTATTACATAATTACAAAACTTTAAATTAATTAAAATTCCTTTTGTAACTCTTTTTTACAAAAAGAATACCACTAGACCTGGGTGCTCTAAACATCATTAAATATTTTGAAAATTAAAAAAGTGAAATTTTAGAATTGAAATTATTAAAAAATTATAAATTATCAATCAGAAGAAAGAACAATCAAACCATAGAACAATCAATTAAACCTAAAATAAAACATTTTTCACGATGATTTCTACGATAACTATCACGATATAATTACGACAATTATAATGGTCATAGAATTGTTTCGTATTACATTTTTAGTAAAATTTTAAATTAATTGAAATTCCTTTTGTAATTTTTTTTCTTTTGATTAATGAAAACCATTGTAACAAAAATTATCGATTGTGTAATTGCAATTATTATATAAAAATTAAATAAATATAAATTAATTAATGTGATATATTTAAGCGATGTGATATATTAAAGGGTCCAAAAATTATAGTTGACGTTGGCCCTCATCTTTTGAGTTGGTTTCTACTTTTATGATCTAATGCACATTTGTCAATTGCTACTATGTGTGTGTTATAATGAACATCATTACTTTTTTAAATTTTTTCCCCTTTCATTTTTAAGTTATTTCTTTCTTAATGATGATTTTTCTAAAACTCTTTACATTCATTTAGTTGTTTGGCTTTATAATGATTTTTTTTTCGAACTTATTTTTGCATTTATCGATTGCTTAACTTTATGAATTTCATTATTTTTAAATTCATTGTGACATTATTTATTTGTTTTGCTTTATAAGTTGTTTAATTTTTTAAGCTTAATTTGACATTTCTTAACTGTTTACTTTATGAGGAATTGCAATATTTTAACTTATTTATTGCTTAGCTTTATAATGATTTATTTCATTATTTAAACTTATTATAATTTTTTCAATCGTTTCGCTTTATGACTTTAAAAAATTTAAACTCCTTTCCACATTTCTTTATTGTTTCGCTTTGTGATGAGTTTTATTTATTACTTTAAAAACTGGTTTTTGTTTTACTCGCTTTATGATGAATTTTTTTTAAAATTATTTTCACATTTTTTTTTTTAAAACAACTTGTGCCAAATTAATATTATCTACGTGTCCAAAACAAAGTTTGATCTAGGAGGCCAAATTTCGAAACTAAGCTCGACACTTAGCGTTTAGAAGGAAAATTAAACGCAAATAGGAAAACTCAATTTCTTACACCCAATCCAATACTTTGAATAAATAAATCCTTAAAATATCATAATTTAAGAAAGTTGTAAACAAAAAGAAGCGCAAAAAAACTTTTAAAAGTAGGAAGAAAAGGCGGGAATGCGCACCGGTCGAAACAAAAGTAAGAGAGAAAAAAAAGAGAAAAGCACATGGAGAACTTACCGTTGTGGCAGAGTTTGGAGATGAAGAGCAAACTTGGTCAACGTCAACCATCTCTATGCGGCTCCCACTTTCCAAGACAAGCTCTTCTTTCTTTTTCCCCATCTAACTCATCTGCGCAGCTATCACAGGAGGTGGTTTTCTACGCTTCTCTTCCGCCTATCCGCGATCACTTCACCTGTGTCACGTGATGTTTTGGTCGCGTGCCAACTTTCAGCTAACTTCTCTAAATCTCTTTTTATCTTCAACCTCTCTTTGGATCATCTCGCGGCGGGACAATCCAGAGAAGATGCGCGCGGAGTAAACAACTGTGGGGAGACTTTTATGAGATTAATTTCTGGAGGATGGGGAGATTTGGTGCAACTTTTGAGCATCGATCATAATTAATATTGCGGATTGTTAACTCGATGACTTTGAAACAAGAAATTAATCCTTCGCGCTTTTCTGAAAGTGAGTGCTAATTTGAAGAGGTCGTGTACAGCGCTCGAAATAAAATTAAAAACAAAGCAATTCGATTTTTTTTTATCAATTAATTAAATTTTCGCTTATTGAAAAGGTTAATAAGAGGATTTATAAGTAAATTTGGTGTGAAAGGTAGGCTTAAAAGAAATGCACCAAAATATGTAAATTATCTGTCACATAACCGCTCCTAGTAATATACAAAATACGAGTATCAACGAATTAGGTACATAGTTTTGCAAAAAAGTATCGTTAAGACGAAAAAGTTCCAAAAAGAAAGTTTCGATACTATCGAAGCAAAGAATGAATAAAATTAAAAATCATCATTTTCAAACAAAGTATTGATCCTAATCTTCGAAAAAATTTCAAAGGGAAACTAATGATACAACTGATACTTTCAAAACTAAGTAATGGGATCTTAAGAAAATACTGATACTTTCGAATCAAATTATGAATACTTATTTTAAAAAATTTCAAGAGTAAAGTATTATTACTTAGCTCTGAAAATGTTTCAAAGAAGAGTATAGATACTCATCTTTGAAGATTTTTAAACTTATATAATACTTACCTTTGATCTCAAGATATTTAAAAAAAAAAAAAGTATATACTCATATAATTTATGGTTACTTATTTTGAAGAATTTCTAAAAGAAAAGTACTGATACTAATCATCGAAATAGTTACAAAAGTGTGCTGATACTTATCTTCGAAAATCTTCAAAATAAAAGTATCGATACTTATATTCAAAAAAAATATATTCTTTAAGAAAATTATTGATATCACCGATACTATCAAAACGACTCAACAATACAATCGAAACAAAGTATCATTAATCATAGCAGAGTATCTATCCTATTCGATACTTTATATTACCATTACTAAATTTTGATTCATGTTGTTACTTATAGTATGGATGGTAATATATCATTACTGATATTGATTGTGTTTTAGTAAATCCTATGTGCCAGTTCAGATAAATATATAAGTAACTGCAGTTGACAAAAGCAACAATTCAATAAAATCATCTCCTAAAGAAGTTGAATTTAGCTATTATGAAGCAATTAAACCATAATTCAAGTATCTAATTATAATAAGAAACTATGTTGCAACTATGTTTAACTTAGAGCTGGGATAAATGCAAAATAAAATCATCAAGTTTTAAAAAAATTACGTACCAATAGTACTTCGGTACGTTCGTAATTCGTACGTATTAATTTAGTTCGGCTATAAAAATAATAAAAATTTTAATAGGCGAATTAAAAGTTCGATTATTTATATTCTTTCCTATGATCGCTGTTATTAACCATATGCCACTTGTTAAAACGTAAAATTAAGGATGCTCGCTTTTTTATCGACATGCTCAGGTCAAAAAGAAACTAGAAAATTCCGTACTATCATAACCGAATTAAAATTTCTATTGTTCATTTTTCCCTAACTTCGTTATGACTCAAGATTAGTCATGATTAAATCTATGTCACTTGTTGAAACGTAGAATTAAGGATCATCGCGTCACCTTCTGAAATTGTAGTAATTTAATTACTTACCGTTAAACTTGTATTAAAATCGGCTTTTAGCAAAAAGGAGCTGTAAATAACCGAATCAAAATTTCAAATAGTGTCTTTCCTAACTTCCGCATTGATTAATCTTTAGTCACTAATAAAAACGCAGAATAACAGATGGTCCTGTAGAATTTCCACTAATATTTAATTGTGCGTAAAAACAGATTTTAGCTTTTTACGGTATAATGTATACAATTCGCAATTAGAAATAAAATTCACAGTTGTAGTATTCACAATTAGAAATTTTAAAAAAATTGGACACAGTTTTGTAGTACGGAAATTCATTTTTCAATACTTCAATAAATAAAGATGGACTTTCGTAATGTCAGTTTATTAAGAGTTCCTTCCTCTCCCGGCCGAACTCAACTGTCGAAGGGGTGGAGACGGGGAGGGAAAATTCTAAATGTGCTTTTAATCCTCTTTATTTAATTTTTATAAATAAACTGATGATAGATATTTACCATGTTAGGCAGTATCTTTCGATAAATGTAAAATACAAATCCACCACCAAATCTCAATTTAAGATATAAAGCGTGCGATATTTTGGATTCTCTATCAATTTTTTTTGACGAAATTATGCCAATACAATTCTGCAATCAACAGTTTTTGATAGGTAATTGAATAGTATACAGTTGCTTGCTTTCAGATTTTTGATAAGTATCTTTTTTTTAATGCAAATGAAGTCAAAAGAATATTTTAGTGTCATTCAAATCTGTTTACCTCAATATAAATTGTAATAAAATTCGATTTTAGAAAACTTAAAACCAGAAAACCGTATAGTTTTAATAATAAATAACTAAAAACCGCAAATCGCATCATTTCATTGTTTTAAAGTTTTGAGGAAAAATTCATGGAAGTTCTAAAAATCATCAAAGTGCTATTTCACCGAATCAAATAAAGCGAACCCTTTATTTTGTGTCTTTTTTTGAAAGGTACTGTGCTGTCTAATAATACTATATCATCTCAAAAGTTTGTTTAGTATTATAAAAAAAATATCAAGAAAACACAAATTAAAAATTTTACTTAAACTCCAAGATGGCTGAGATAGAAATAATGTTTCTGAAAATGGTTTTTCCTTGTTCCATAAAAAGTATGCTGAAACATAATTTTATCCAAACCAGGTCAAATAAAACTGAGTATATACAGAAATAATGGGGAAAAAAATTTCAAATAGAACATTTATTTAAAGCACTGATGAAGATGGAACTTGATTCAATTGTATATTTTCAGAATGCATAACTCTTTTTACGTTCTTTTTTAAATGAAAAATTTATTTATACATACCTACTAAGTTTAAAATTTTTCGGAAATTAAAAACCATTGACACAGAATAGTTTCTTTGTCAAAGAATATCTAGATTAAATCTTCTATTATTCAGCATCATCAAATTATGAGAGAAAATTAGTAAACGATTTTTTTTTAAAACGTTATTTACAAAATCGGTTGCTATTAAAATTATTTCGTGCATTTTATTTATTTACCTTAAATAATTCTTTTACTTTCTTCAGCTTTTATCTTGTTTTTAAATCGTTTTTTAATATTTTAAACTGTTTTTTTTAATTAATATTTCGCAGGCGTCTGCCGAGATGTTACATCACGTGATTCCGATATGTCTATTGGACACAGAATATTTGAGAAATCCAGTAAGAAATGTGTGATTTGAGTTCATTTTTTTCTTTTTTTACGACATTTGCCACACTTTTTGTAACGTTTAAATGGTTTGCCATTATTGCCTTCTTTGTCATTAGATTAACTCTGACCATGAGAAGAAGCATAAAATGTGTAAAACGTTGTGCGACTTGTGACGAACTTTTTAAAAATTTACGAACGGTTGCCAAAGTAGGTATCGCCGTTAGATTTTAGTCTACCTTTTTTTGCATTTAAACATTTTCAGATAATCAGAAACTAATAAAGATAGAATTAAGTGCATGTATTTGGTGCGCTTTTATTCAATTTTTTAAATGTGTATGTCTAATTCAAACTCATTTAATTACAAGAACAGGTAGGCAGATCTGCATTTCATAAAATGAATGGTTTATGGTTTCATATATTTTAATCACTGGAGCTTCATCTATATTGTTTATTCAAGCAACAAGTTTTACCCTAGTCGAAATCAAATTTTCCAAGTTGTGTAAAACCAAGTACCCAATTATGTCTGACTGAAAAAGTTTCGGTACTACCAGACAGCGGCATTTTAAATAAAAAAAAGTAGAATTTTTTTTTAATGTGGTGTTGAGACCGTTTTAACAATTTGGAATAATAGCTGAAAAATTGCCTCTTTAGGAGTTGAACGTAACTAAAAAAAATTTAAAAACACTCGAAAATACAGAATTAATGTAACGAAATAAATCAAATAATTTTTCTAATCGAATTTTTAAAAGTAAACAAAGAACCTAGTACTCTGTTTTTCTTTCATCATCAAATAGCATGGCGTCTCTCTGCAACTAGTTTCATGGGTTTTCTGACAAATAACAGCTTCTTAATAATTGCTTGCTCAACAGTCTTTTTACAAATTGTTTATTTCCACAGGGATAAACTATGACTAAATAGAAACACTTCTTCAATCTTGTTAACATTACAACCAACGTCCCTGATTATTTACAAAGCACTCAAATTTCGATAATTTGACTTCTTCGTCGAAATGCTTTTAGATCATGAATGATTAAAGTTACCCCGGTTTGCAAAGTAACCCCAGTTGACGGTATATCTATTGTATGTAGATGAGTGTCAAATTATCCCCTTGAAAAATTTCTTATAAGTGCATACTGTAAAATTACGCAAGGAAAAAAAAACTTTTTTTTACATTTCTCAGAAGAATTTCACTCCCTAAAATGTTCAATACTACTTTATTAACACAGTAAACAACAAACTAAAAATAATGTATCTTAAATTTAATTTAGTAATTTGATAACGAAATTAGTAACTAGAATTATGTCACAAGAAATACATGGACTAAACTCATCAAAAACACTTAATAACATTAAACTCTCTTTTGCTATCATTAATCCTATTACTGTGGTAAACTTAAAAAAAGACAATTAAAATTAATAATAGTTTTCATATTTTTGAGCAGAATAATTTGCTTATTTATTTTAGCTTTTTT